TCAAAATATAAATAGGTTTTTGACACTAATCATATGCTCTTAATAACTTTTTGATAATTTAATGACCTGTAAGTTAAACCTCACATGGAGTGATCATTGCCACCAGAAAATCCTCTGAAGGTAGTGTTTGACTTCCACTTTTTAGTTTAATGAATAGCAAGTTTATAATGGGGGCCCTTTGTCATATCCATTTTGGGACTTGGGCCTTTTTACTTTCCTAAGTTTATCCCTTCAATTTTGAAAAGCTGTTTAAAACACCTGCTGGGAAACTATGGATAATCCTCTAATCTTAGATTTAGAGAAATGAGTACCAGTTGATGCTAACATGATACTTAGACTTTAAGGGGCTTCCATCCAAGTTTTGGCATGAATTTGTTAGACAAAATTTTATTCACTCCTTTAAGAATGTTTTTTCTTAGAATGGTTTTCTTTTTGATTGTTAACTTCTAAGCATCTGGTGTCTTTTTTTTTTTTAACCCTTTAAGAAACAAAGTCTGTTTTCGAGTAGGTATTGATTGTTCCATGGAAACTCAGGAGTGTCTGTAGGCTCTGCATGCTTTGTATGAGTTCAATTTGAACAATGCGTTTTGAATCATCTGAGATGTCCAATTCTGGCATGTCTTCACTGTTTTTTAAACATTTTTCATGTCGTTTTTCAAACCTCACTTCCCATCTTATTCAGAGAGGTTAATCAAGGAATGAAATTTGGGGATAGGGATGAGGGTGGGTTGGGGATTTGAGTGAAGTCAGCTTGGGGTATTTGCTTTAAAGAGTTTCTCAAGCAGTTCCTAACAGTATTTAGAGATTCCCTGGAATATTTGTATACTCAGCTTATTCTGGACAAAGTGGTGGTCTTAGTGAGATTTGCATTCTTTATGCAGGACAGGCTCTAAATATTATAGATAGTGTAACTTTGTTATTGAATCCAAGAAAGTAATGGACAGAGTGTTCCTATTGTAGTGTTTCTGGTAAGTGCTCCCTAAAATGCACATCTAGTTCTCAGCTTTCTGGGTTTTTAATCCTATGGTGCTAGGAGATACTGTTTCTACAGCTCTTCTCTAAGTGGGAGGAAGACTTTGGACCAGTGAATAGGGGGATTATCCACTAAATATTTTTTGTTCAAGACACACTAGAGACCCTCCTGTATATCTAGTAAGTGATAATAAAGGTGCTAGGGAAAGCCTTAAATTTGAAGACACACAGAGGCTGTAGGAAATCTAAACTTGTAGGAGGAGAAAAACATGCCATTAGATAAAGCAGAGCTGTAACTGCTGGCTAAGACTCAATGGAACTTCCACTTGCTCTAAAACCAGGGAAATCTTACATAACTGGGTGTGATATATCTATAGATACACATAGTCTATAGGTAAATAATTTCAAAAATGAGGATCTTTCTCTCAGTTGGTGATCCTCTGGTTTTGGCTGTACCAAATTGTGAATATTGCTGTGTTGTACCCAGTTGCTTTATATTGATACTGCAACTTGAATTGGGGAGGGGGGTGGGACACGTGGGGTGGGGGAGGGAGGGGAGTGGGAAAATAAGTCTTTTGAAGACATCAGCTCACTGTGCTGAGAGAGGGACCAAACTCAAGGAAACCTCTGATCTATAAATTCAACTGCTGCATTTTTTATAAATACATGTAAATGTCCTGTTGTAATATTTGATCTTGGAAATAAAATAAACTTTTCAGTATTAGTTTTTGTATTATTCTGTGAGATAGGACTATGGATATTACTTTTATGAATACAGTTCTGGTTTCAAAAGCTTGCCCTCATAGTCTCATGTTTAGGACAGTAGTAGTAACTGACAAAAGTTCATGGTCCCGTGTCAAGAGTAATGCTTGCTAGTTTTATTTATTTTTCTGCTCTTAGTACTATATTAGACATTTATGGTGAGTACTCTATAAATGTTGTTTGAGTTGTCATGAAATCATTGGATTTGCTAGCCTTGTTAGGAAAATAAGATTCTTTCTATATTTGACATTTGGGCAATTCAAGTGTCTAGTTCTTCAAATCAGCAATGACTAAGGACTTAGCTTAAGCAAGTGAAGGAAAAAGTAATTACTAAATTAATGGGAGAAAAGCCAGGAGATATTATTATATCGAGTAGTAGAAAATGGGGTGGCTGCCTAGCTCACAGTAACCCCAGAGACTAGTTTGTGCTGCTCCTCTTGTGGAACTATTCCTCATACCCATGTTTCAGCACCATATCCTCATGGGACTTGCCATCTACTTTCAACACCTTGTTTCCCAGGCTACATGGACTGGTCAAGGGGTGAGCATCCTACCTAAATTGGGACAATAGGATGCCTTTCCCATTCCTCCAGCCACAGACTGTCTATCCTTAACCTTAACTAGCCTCACTGTACCAAATCATAGAGATGGTGATGAGCAAAACACACAGCCCCTTCCTTCAAAGTACTTTCTTTTTAGTTAGGAATATAGACAATAAACAAATAAAAAAATACAGATGAGAAATACTATGAGAAAAAAAAATCTAGAGAAGGGGTCAGCAGAGACTTCTGCTTTAAATGAGGTGTTGGGGAATAATATTTAGGCTGAGATCTGAAGGATGAAAAGAAGGTGGCCATGGGAAGAGAAGGAAGAAAACTTCCAAACAGAATGACAAATGCAAAGGCCATGGAGCAGGAAAGCTTTGGATGTATTTGAGGTATTTAAGGAAGGCCAATGTGTCTGACATGTAGTGAACAAAGGGAATGGCATAAAATGAGTTAAAGCCAGATCATACAAGGCCTTGTTAGGCCCTGGTAAGGGCCCCAGATAATGTTGCAAGTGTAATGAGAAGCCATTTATTATGTGGAGAGTAGACTGGAAGAGAGCAAAAGTAGAGACTACTGCAATGATCAAGGTACAAAACAGAGGTGGCCTGGACCAGAGTAGTGGCAGTGGAACTGGGAAGTAGTATATAAATTAGAGATGCATTTTGAAGGTGGAAATTAAAAGACACAATTAGATTAGATGTGAGGGAAGGAAAGAAATCAAGAAAGACAAGTTATCAGCAGAAGGGTAGGTAGTGGTATCATTACTGAGGTGGGAAGACTGGTGGATCAAGCAGGTTTGGTGGAAGAGATATCATTTTGGATTTTTTAATTGTGATGCTTCCAAGTGCAGATATAGTGTAGGAAAGTTGGCCATGTGAGTCTGAAGCTCAGAGGAAAGGTGGACTGGAGTTCGAGATTTGAGAAATCCTCAGTGTTATGGATGGAGTTTAGTACTATGAGAAAGAATGAGTTCACATAAGGAGAAAATTAATGAAGAGGGCTCAGAACCCAGGCCTGAAGATCACCAACTTAAAGAGGCCCAGTCAAGGAGCTGCAACCAGTGAGACAGGAGAGACACCAGAGTGGGGTGTCAAGGGAGCCAAGAGTGAGAATGTTCAAGAAGGATCTACCAGCCAACGATGTCTAATTCTGCCTAGGGAGATCAAGTGAAAAGGACAGTAAAGTGCTCATTAGGTAAAAGGAATCACTGGAGACCAAGAATGATATTGGAGATGGAAGCCTAATTTGAGTGGGTTGAGGTTTATCATATTTTTATACTAATGAAGAACAAACTAAAAAAACTTCCTCTTCAGTGGACTGGCATAAATGGCAGCTCTTTCAACATCTCCTACCTTCCTTTTTTTTCTCCCTCCAATTAAGGGAATGTGCTCTTTTGTGTAGTCAGCTGTCAGTTGAGGTTGGAGCCCACACACAAGGAAGCTGATTAGTCTGTCACTCTTAATCTGGGAAAGACTGGCTGATTTTCATCTTTTCCCCTTTCCTTCTGCCAGAGAATTTCATTTTCTCAACTTCCTCTATTCCTTGCCCAAATCCCACCCCCAGATCCCAGAATGGAACATCTGTCTATTCTGTTCTCCCAAGCCTTTCAGCTTTGGGAAGCCTTTTATGGCATTAGGCAAATTATTTTCCCGCCCGGGCCCCATTCTTAATTTGTGCCCTCAAACTCCCATTTGCGTCTCCCTAGAAATACTACCAACAAAGTGATAACTAGTAGCTGTGTCTCCAAAAGAGCCAAATTCTAAGATTAGCACATCTGTGAAAAGATAATGCTTTAATTCTTTCATAGCAGTGCCCAGGCCTCTGTTACCAGAGAGGGCCTACTACAGAGAAGTGAAGAACTTAACCTAAACCTGGCCTTACTAGTAAAACGATTTATTGTAAATATATAGTTTCTAAAAGAAGTGTCTCGTTCATTAGATTAATAATTGAATTAATTGTCACAAATTTACCCTAAAGAACAAGGACCTGCAGTTGTCATCATCAGCCCCGTAAGTTTGGCACTTTACGGGGTTAAAGCCAATCCAGCACTTTTCTTTGCTCCACAAGCACCATTTTAATATCCATATGAGACTGTCTGCTGTTAGATAAGCCATTGAATTCGGAACAGAAATACCTTCTAAAAATCTGAGTGATATCTGGTAGTCAGCCATCAGATCATTCTAATTGCCTAACTACAAGATGTTCTAACAGTCACTGCTTGGCCCGCTGCTGAAGCTTCTGTGCCTCATGAGTAATGAATGGCATTTCTCACCCCTCTGGTCCTCCTGGGGGTTTTTATAGATTATCCAAACCCAGGTACAAGTTCCAGGCCTGAGGCTCCTGCATAACAGTATTTCTCACAGTTACATCCTCTGACTCAAGACAATTTAGCTCACGAGGCCATGTCTCCTGGTTCCTTCTTTAGGGTCACATGAAAATGAACAGGAGACAGGTCATCAGGAGAGTGCTCTCCAGGAAGAGGAAAGCTCCTTCAATGGAAGTCTATGGGCAGTGGTGCGGGGGCACACGCATACACACATGCCCACACTCGCCTGGTTGACCTCTGTATGTATTTAGGGCCTCCCTGACCCTTCTTGAAGGTCCTGGAAGAGGCTGGGTCCTGTAGGAGTGCCAGCTGGGGCTCGCTGGAGCGCAGGCCCACTCTGAAGACAGCCCTTCTCCAGATTCTTTCTCTCCTATCCTGATTCTTGCAACTGGATGCAGGTAAGGAGGGATGAAAGGGCCAGTGAGGTAATGGCCAGGAAACAGTATGGTCTACCACAGACTTCCACTCAAGGGAGCCCTGGCTCTGCCACTGAGCAGCTGTGTGACTTCAGGCAATTTGTTTAACTTTTCTTTGCCTCAGTCTATCAACTTCAGGCCTTTACATAAGCTTAGACTACTTTTCCCTTCCCAGTTTTGCCTGCCTAATGCCTATTGTCAGTTAGATTTTGAATTAAACAGAACTTCCTCCAGGAGTTTTTACATCAAGTCTGCAGGAGAGGATTTGTTGTCCCTCCTTCCATTAAACTTTAAGCTGGATTACACCTGAAGGTGGACACCTCTGCTCAGCACTTGCTTACTGCCTTGACAGTGTCTCCACCAGACTTTTAGTCCTCAAGAGAAGAGACTGTATCCAGTCCTCAGTTGGGGCCCCTGGCAAAATGTCAGTCATTGGGAGGGGTGCGGGTTAAAGTAATGACTTGCTAAGACCCTCAATTGGTTAACTCGCTGAGATGTACACAGAGAGCCCTGAACTCTGCGATGGACAGTCTGGGGAGAGAGGCTGCCCAGACACATGCCCTTGCATTACAAACGGGGGGGTGGGGGGGTTGGGGGGGTGAGGACTATTATCCTACAAGTGCCCTGCCTCCTGACATCAGGGCAAGTGCCTCACTCTGGGGACCTGAGGAGGAAGCAGCTGGTACTAGGGGGCCTAAGTCATGAAAAGAGGTCTGCTGTGGTGGACTAACTGGGAGAGAAGGCATGATCTCTCCTGATCCCTAATTCACACCCTTCCCCTCAGGCCCCTTATATTCCTGAAGTAGGGCCACTGTTCCTATCATATCCTGCCTGAGAACTCCCCTAGAATATGCCCCCTCCACAGGAATTTGAACTTTCTTTAGTCAAGGACAAGTTATTTAATTCATTGTGAAAAACATGGTGTAGAGGGCAAATATTCTGTGGAGAGCGCACTTGGTGAAGGCAACTCTTCACATTAAACTCTTCACATTAAAATGCAAATGTCATTGTATCAGGAAGTTCCCCTTTGGGAGAAATGCAGGAGCCAAGCATGGGCTCAGAGATTAGACGAAGCAAAAGTCACCAAGGCCTTCAAGAGTTGGTGAATGAGGGCAGGAGCATTCCCCCAACCAAATGCCCTATTCAATACTGTGTCTGGACTAGTCTCTCTACCGTAAACTTCAGTCTGGACAAATAGAAGATGCTACGGTAATCACTTGGGTTTTTAAAAATGAGTTCATAAATTGTAAAACTGTTTTTAAAAGGTATAATAAAATAAAAATTTAGGATAGTAATTTCTAGGAACGAATTCAGAAAGATGGTAGGATTAGAGAGTACACACCTGGACTTCAATAATATTAGTGGTAATGACCTGTTTTGTAAACTGGTTATATTTACATGGGTTTTGTTTAATTATCCCACACAACTTACAAGTACAGATACATTATATACATTACGTTTAATTCTTTAAACTCTGAAATATTTCATTATATATGTATGTGTATACATATGTGTAAGAAACATACACAGAAAAAGAGAGGGGGAGAGAGATATATACATTTTTTAAAAATTATGTGCAAAGCAATGTGTTAGATGGGAGTGTCAAGAGCCTTAAGGTGACACAGATATGTAAATGAATTGCGAAGTGGCAACAGACCACTTTTTGGGAATGTCATGGTACTGACTTCTTCAGATCCATACTGATGTGAGTTACCCAAATATTACTAGTCTTATGTTAATTCATATTAAAAAAAAAAAACAAGGAGAAAAAAATGTCATAGATGATAGGGGCAGAGGAGGCATTTTACAACGTATATAGACATGACGTTTTAATTTTTAATCAATTTTATTGATATACAATTAAAATATAATAAAATTCACCAATTTTAAGAGTAGTTTGATGAGTTTTGTCAATGAATATAGCTGTGTATTCACCACGAGAATCTAGATTTTGTACACTTCAATGACCTCAAAAAGTTTTCTTATGTCCCTTATATTAATCCCCTCTTCCATTCCCAGCCCCTCGCAACTACTGATCTGCTTTCTGTCACTAGTTTTGCCTTTTCTAGAATTACATATAAACAGAATCATACAGTGAGTAGTCTTTTGTTTCTGGCTTCTTTCACTTAGCATAATGTTTCTGAGATTTATCCATGTCATTGCATTATCAGTAGTCCATTGTTTTTTATTGCCTAGTAGTAGTATCCATTTGTATGGATATACCACAATTTATTCACCTATTGATGAACATTTGAGTTATTTCTTGTTTTTTGTTTTATATTTTTTGTATTTCTCATTTTTAATTGTTTTTTTTTATTATGGCAAAATATATATAACATAAAGTCTGTTATTGTAACCATTTTAAAATATACAATTCAGTGGCATTAATTACATTCACGATCCTGTGGAACCATCACCACTCTATTTCCAAAAATTGTTCATTACCCCAAACTGAAACTCTGTAACCATTAAACGACAACTACCCATTCCCCAATTCCCACAGTACCCCGTAACCTCTAATCTACTTTTCATCTCTGTGAATTTGCCTGTTCTGGATATTTTATATACATAAATGCCTTTTAGTGTCTAGCTTATTTCATTTAGCATGATTTTTTCAACTTTCATCTATATTATAGCATGTAACAACTTCGTTCCTTTTTATGGCCGAATATTGTTTCATTGTGTGTGTGTGTGTGTGTGTGTGTGTGTGTATGTGTGTGTGTACACACACACACATATATACACACACAGACACATAAACATTTTATTTTATTTACATAAAATACATAAACATTTTATTTATTCATTTATCTGTTGGTAGACAGGATGTTTCTGTATTTCTGATTTATAGTTATTATGAATAAAGCTGCTATGGACATTCAAGTACTCAGCTCTGTGTGGATAGGTGTTTTCATTTCTTGAAAGTAGTTGTACCATTTACATTCTCACCAGCTATTTATGAGAGTTTCAGTTGTTCCACATCCTCACCGACACTTGGTAGAGTCCAACTTTTTAACTATAGCAATTCCAGTGGATATGTAGTAGGATCTTACTTTGGTTTTAATTTGCATTTCCCTATTTTAATGATGTTGGGTGTCTTTTCATGTTCTTAGTTGTTATATATATATATCTATATATCTTTTTTTGTAAGATGAAATGAAGTATCTTTTCAAATCTTTTTCCCATTTTTTAAAATCAAGTTATCTTCTTATTATAGAGTTTTAAGAGTTTTTCTACGTTCTAGATACATGTCCTTGGTCAGATGTGTATGTTCTCACACTCACATACATAGTCATAAAACATATATAGTATTTTCTCTCAGCCTGTGGTTTGCCCCTTCATTTCTTAATAGTGTCTTTTGAAGAGCTAATTTTTAATTTTGAAGAGTTTATAATTTTTTATAGGTTGTACTTTTTGTGTTTTATCTAATAAATCTTTATCTACCCAAGACCCCAGTGATTTTTCTCCTTCATTTTCTTCTAGAAATTTTATTAAGGTTAGATCTATGGTCTATTTAAACTTCATTATTGAATATGGTTTGAAGTAATTCTCAAGTATATATATTTTTGTTCTGCATATGGATTGTTCTAGCACTACTAATTGAAAAGACTATCCTTTTACCACTGAAATACCATCTTTTTCAAAAATAATTTGATGATATATGTAGATATATTTCTGAACTCTCTACTCTGTTCCAGTGTTTTGTCTGTCTTTTTATGCATTACTTCACTATCTCGATTACTGTAGCTTTATAATGTTTTAAAATCTCATGGTATAAGTCCTTCAACTTCGTTTTTCTTTTTAAAAATTATTTTGGCTAATTTAGGTCCTTTGCATTTCCATACAAATTTAGATTTAGCTTTTCAATTTGTATTACAAAATCCTGCTGGGATTTTGACTGAGATTACGCCGAATCATTGTGTCAATTTAGAGAGAATCGACATGCTAACGATATTGATTCTTTTGACCCATAAACATGACATATCTTTCCATTTATTTAGGTCTTTAATTCTTCTCAGCAGTGTTTTATAATTTTTAGTGTACAGATCTTGTATATAGCTTTTATTTTTATGCTATTGTGTAAATGGTATTTTAAAAATTTTTACAATTTGCCATTGCTTGTATATAGAAATACAATAGAGTTTTTGTATAGCAATGTTTTTATTCTGTGATCTTACTTATCTAACCGATCAGTTCTAGTAAATTTTTGATAGATTCCTTAGGGTTTTCTATATAGATAATCATGTTACTTACGAGTAATGACAATTCTTGTTTCTTTATTTCCTATATGTATGGCTTTGCTTCTATTTATTTTCTTATTGCACTGCAAAGGACCTCCTGTCTAATGTTGAATGGAAGTGGTAACAGTGGACATCTTTAAAATGATATCTTTTAAAGAGAGAGGATGGATGACACCTTAAAAAATTTTTGTTTTTCTGTACCAGATAGAATAATCACTGGCTGTAATAGAGGTACAAGCAAAATATAATGGGATGAGGAGTGTGTGTGAGAGAGTTAGCATTGGAGAATATTTATAAGAGGGAGAATTTTTAAGCAAGTTCCTTGGCTCTTCTTTAACTGACCTTGGGAGGTGACAATATCTGTAGTCTGTTGCCCCCACCCAATGCTCCCAGCAGCAGAGCCCCCATGACCCTCCTTCCATTGGTTCCAGGACACCGTCGTCTCCCTGCATGATGGCATGCTCACGGACCTGCTCCCGCATCCTGGGGCTAAGCCTTGGTACTACAGCCCTGTTTGCTGCAGGGGCCAACATGGTGCTCCTCTTTCCTAACTGGGAGGTGACTTACCTGTTGAGAGGCCTCGTTGGCAGGCATGCCATGCTGGGCTCTGGGCTCTGGGGAGGAGGCCTCATGGTAAGTGTCCTGGGTTCCCTGGGTGTGAACTCCCAAAGTGCCCCCCAGGAGTGGAGCAGGGAGGTTTGGGGGAAGAGTGTTTTGATTCCTTGCAAAAAAGTTTAACAAGCTGGTCTTAGGTCTATAGCAACTTCAAGCAATAGAAGACTCTAGGAAAACTTGACAAGGGTTGCTGAATTTTGGAATAGGCAGGCTGGGTATGAACATTGTTGTCAATAAAGTAAGATCAGGATAGTCATCCAAAATTGGGTCCTGACAGTCAAAGCCAAACCCTCTGGGAAAGATAGGATAATCCAGTCCATGTGAGGTGACCAACCACTCTTTTCAATAGCCACAGGTGGCAGCTAGCAATGTAAATTACTCAGTCTCTTAACAGTCTTCTCTCCTCTCCCAGGTACTCACTGCAGCTATCCTCATCTCCTTGATGGGATGGAGATATGGCTGCTTCAGTAAGAGTGGGCCTTGCCGAAGCGTAAGCACCAGATTCTACTCTTCTAATACCTAGAATGTCCTTACATCCTATTTCTGTCAAGGCAGAGTGATAAAAAGGCAATATTGGTCTTGGGATTTGAAGTCGGGTTCTGACCATGCCCCTTAATCATCCTAAGCTCTTGGGAAAATTGCTTAAGCCTCAGGTCCCCACATGAAAAATTGGAGTTAACAGGGCCAAGTCAATGATCCTGTCATATAATAAACCATAAATGTCATAATGAACCATAAATATCTATACAAATGTGGGGAACTGTTACTATTATTTTTTAGCCTATTGAACAATATGGACATGAGTTATGTACACTGTAATCATGTATTAGTCATAGAAAATTTCCTGGTACTTTGCTTAATTTTTATTAGAGCTCGAAGGTTCTCCAGAGATCTTTTAATGATTAGATTCCAGTTTAACCTTTCCATTTTACAGATAATGAAACTGAGGCCCATAATAAATTTTCACTTTATTAATTACATAAGCATCTCTCTATATATATTTGAAAACTCTGTTTGCTCACACACAATATTGTTTATTCAGTCTCAGACACATGAATCTCTAGCCTCCTTATAGTAACTCCACAGCTTGCTTTGATATCTGCAGCCCATATACTGGGAACCCTGCTGATTCAGAATTAAATGTAAACACCCACACATTCCATTCACTATCTGTTCTCAGTCAAGTCTGGTTTTCCCCTAGGGAAGTGGTTCTCAGACTTGAGTGTGTATCAGAATCCCAGCAGGGTTTGTTAAAACACAGATTGCTGGGCTCCACCCCCAGAGTTTCTGATTTAGTAGGTCTGGTGAGTGGAAAATTTTACATTGCTAATAAGTTTCCAGGTGATGTGATGCTGCTGGAACAGGGACCATATTTTGAGAATCATTGTTCTAGTCTTATATAAGACTATTTTATCCCGAATCTTTTCACTTAGAGTCAAAACTTACTATGCACCTTTCTCTGTGCCCTCCCAAGCTCCAAAACAGTTTGACATCAGTGGGGGAAATGACTCCATGATTCGGTATAAAAACTATTTATATGCTTTATTTAAATTTTAAAAATACGTAGTCTTTGGAAAGGAGAAAAAAAATCTAGTATCCTGTGAAATTCCAAATCCCAATTTGGAAGCCAGGTAGAATTTTCTGTCCCATCCCTTCCTAGCTCTACCCAGTGACCCCTCATTAGACAACCTACCTTGGTTAAGCTTTAAAAGAGGTGCCATGGAGTAGCCTGAGGAATATGATGGGGAAAGCCTGAGCACCAGAGAAGTTAGATTGTCCAGATGGCCCACAAGTTACCTAGTCATGACCCCATCTCAGGCTCATTGTTTCTTCTCTCCCTCTACAGATGCTCACTGCTCTGTTGTCGAGTGGCCTGGCTTTGCTTGGAGCCTTGATTTGCTTTACCACTTCTGGAGTAGCCCTGAAAGATGGTCCTTTTTGCATGTTTTATGTCTCATCTTTCAACCAGACGCAAGGTTGGAAGTATGGTTACCCATTCAAAGACCTGAATAACAGGTAACTAGATGGAGAGTCAGATAGATTTGCAGCTTTTTCAGGGAGGGAGTGGGGGAGATAGAGAGAGAGCGAGGGAGAGAGAGCGAGGGAGAGAGAGAGAGAGATAGAGAGAGAGAGAGAGAGGTGGACTACAAACTCCTTTTGGTGGTGCATTCTAGCATCTAACTCCTATGATGCTTAACAACTGAAAAAGCAGCAGCAATAATCACCCTCAAGAGTCTAGGCCTATGACCTGTTCTGGGTGAGGCCCCAGCTTTCCATTGAGTTTGCTTATTTGGCTTTTCTTACTTATTCCTCAAACCTGGTCTCCTTATATTTTGAAACAGGAATTATATGTATGACCATTCACTCTGGAACTCTGTCTGCCTGGAGCCTACTAAAGCTGTCGTTTGGCATGTGTGCTTCTTCTCCACCCTACTGTGCATCAGCTTCCTCCAGATTCTCCTGGTGGTCATTCATTTCTTCAACAGCTTCTTGGGCCTTTTCTGTAGCCTCTGTGAGAAGTCATAATGCCCTTTTATGGATAGGAGTTTTCATCAGAAGCTTCCTTGAATCCTTTCTGCAACTAGGATTTATGGGTATGAATCATAAACGAACTTCCCTTTTAGGTATTCCTGTAGGAATACTAACAATAATAATTCCTTGCACATATGTTAATGCATTTTAAATCACATTGTAAACTGCAAGATGATATGTTAGTAGAAGAAATAATTAAGTCATTATTATTGTGTAGGAATTTATTGTACATAAAATGTCCTCCAGCCATGATCTTACTTCAGCCTCTCAACAACTCCATAAAATCTACCGTGTGTTACAGATACAGAAGTTAAGGTTCTTAGAGGATAATGGGCTTGCTGCTCAAAAGCACTCAGCTAGGTTCAGGTAATGTCAGAACCTGAGTCCCTATCTTCTAAATTCAAGTTCACCACTTGTTATGCTGAACTACGTGTTCTTAGAACTCACAGGTTGAAGCCCTAACCCCCAATGTGACTTTATTTGGAGATAAAACCTCTGTAGAATTAATTAAGGTTAAATGAGGTCATAAGAGAAAGATCCTAATCCAGTAGGAGTGGCATCCTTATAAGAAGAGGATGAGATACCAGATCTCTCTTTCCACATGGGCATAGAGGAAAAGGACATGTGAGGACACAGCCAGAAGGTTGCTATCTGCAAGCCAAGGAAAAAGGCCTCAGTAGAAACCAACCTTTTTGGCACCTTGATCTTGAACTTCCAGCCTCCAGAAAATAAATTTCTGTTGTTTAAGCCACCCAGTCTGTGCAATTTTGTTATGGCAGCCTGAGCTAATTAATCCACCAGTGTTCTTTTCATTAGTGTTCAGTGAAGTTCAATAAGTGGTATATACTGAATATCCATAGTGTGCCTAGCATTCACTGCTGTGCATGCTGAGAATCCAAAGATGATTGAGACATGATCCTTGACCTTGAACCCTGCCCTGTCCTTAAAGAGTTCATAGTCAGGTTAGAGAAACAAACACATGTATCAATAATTTAAATGCCACATGGCAAGGGCCATGTGAGATGTCAACATAGGGTGTAATGAGAGCTTGGAGGAACAGTGAACCCCAAACGGAAGGATAAGTGAGAGATCAAAGAAGGCTTCCATTGTGTCTGAGCTGATTCTTAAAATAGCTTGGAAAAGAGGAGAAGGTTTTCCCAGCAGAGGAAACAGCACACTCAAAGGCATAGAGGGGATAAATGGGATGGGGTGTGTGCAGAACTGGGATGCCACAGCTGCTTCTAATGTGGGACATGGAAAAAAGAGGGCTTCCTTCTCTCACACTCTAGGATAGTGAGTAGAGTCAGGAGTGGGATGGAGATCCTGGTGGGAAGATTTGATGGTTAGGGAAGAGGATGAAGCAAGCAGAAGCAGCCTGGGAAGAACCAGGAAGAAGGGTACTGTCAAGAGAAGAGGTAGTGGGTAGGTCCAGGAAATTTCCTAGAAGGAAATTTGGAGGCCCAGGTCGTACTGTATCCCCTCCACAGTCCCTTGGACCCCAGCTCCATTCCAGCACTATTCCAGGTCAGGGAGGAGCCAATGAAGCACCAGAGGCTTCCAGAATATAGCAATTCCTCTGTTCCCATGGTGCCTCAGCAGGACTGAGGAGTATGATTCTGTCTTCTGATAGGCAAGCTAGCAGAGCTTGTAGAAGTCAGGTCCCTCCAAACACCATCTCACCCTCTCCTCTCTGGAGCTGCTGGCCTGACAGGCCTGTCCTGAGTGGGGAAGGTGGACAGTTAAAACTGTCAGGAACAGAAAAAGTCTCTTGATCAGGCGGGGTGTCCTGAGGTCCAGACATTACATCATATATCCACATACAACATCCAAGAAGCATTGCCTGTGCCTGTCTCACATGACCCTGTTGGCTGATTTAGTTTCAGGGTTATGGCTAGGACATACCTGATCTACAGGAACTTCTCTTGCAGGAGAAAGATATTGACATCTCCACATAATTAATGGAGAATTAAAAAATAATTTATATCTGGTTTTGGACATATTAGGTGCACGCACATACACACACAAATACTAGCTTTACAATCTTTATCCTGGCTTGGCCCTACTTTGATGGCTCAGCAGGACACTGAGGTGAGAGATGTCAGTTTTTGGCACCAAGACAATTCTCAGTGAAGAGGTGACTCTTGCCTGAGCCTCCTTCATCCTCAGGAACCTCAGACTGATATTATTGTAGAACTTAATACGAGTTCAAAGGATAGTGTCTCCAATCTCTGCCTCAGCTAGGCCTATCATTTTCGCTTTCAGATTCTGTACTTTTAGGGTAGATCCTCCTGTGGTTGGCTGCTGACATTCATAGATCTCAAAGTGCACAAGGTCAAAAACAGAAGTCTGGGAGTAAAGCTGACAGCGCCTTCTCCAAGTTTGAAGTACAATTGCTTCAAACTTGTTGAGGGGTGCAATGTACTTAACTAGAGACGAGCTAGAATAGCTCGCCTAACTTCTCTCTTCACAGTTCAGTTTATGGTGGATTGTGAAGAGCTGTAGGGGGGAAGGAAGAAGGGCCTTGGAGAGGCAATAGGAGAAGAGGAGAGAAGAGAAGAGAAGAGAAGAGAAGAGAGGACAGGAGATGAGAAGAGAGAAGAGAGAGAAGCGGAGAGGAGAGGAGAGGAGAAAGAGTTTCTGAATTCATTCTACCATGGGCCCCACATTCATTCTACCATGGGCCCTACATGCCTCCTGTTGGCTGCCCTCTGTGAGAGTCTAGAGAGCACCTGCACCCCCTTCCTCCTACCTATATCCCAGGACCATCTCACACTTACAATGGGCTTTTACCTTGGTTTTATCTCCCCAAACAAAAGCGCCATCTGGCTTTTGGCTTGGCTTCCAACCAGGTTTTGTTGAGAGGCTGGTGCTAATCTGTTTATCAGGATGGTATTAAGTAAGTATTTTATTCCAAAGAAAAGTTGTCTGTTCCTTACCTTGTATGTGCCTTCTTGAATATCATCCTGGAGTGAAGAGGATGTTGCCTCGTTTTAATAGTGCTCAGAGAAAAGTAAGGCCATCTCAGGAACAGGCTGTCCTTCAGCTTTCTGTTATAGAAAGTAGCACTCCATTTAGTGATAATTAGTTTAGCCTAGTGTTCCCCAGCCAAATCTATTCACTCTTTAGGGCAAGGCCTGGGTTTTATTCATTTTTGTATTTCCAGCCTCTAGCACAGATAGCATAATAAAATATTTACTGAACTGAATTATGTACTGGATCTTCTATGTTTTTAGTTGGACTGCAGTAGATAGGTAGGGTGAGAGAAACATAATTGAAGAACTCATAAAATGTGAGAGAAAATCTGCATTCTAGGAATATGATTTCTTGAGGCTGGTGAAACAGCTAGGAGAAAACCCATGATCTGCGTCTAGGAGATACTGGACTTCTGTGCCAGGCAGGGACCATGCTGGTCTGTGGATGCATGACCCAAGCTAAGGTGGGGCTGCTAAACCGGGAGGCAACAAAAAGGGTGTGACTGAGGCAGCACTGAGTTGGTGCTGAGTGCACATCTGGCTCTGTGGCCCTTGCACAGACCCCACTCTGCTGGCCAGTGTCAGGAGAAAGATTCAGCAACCCATCCAGATCACAAAGGGACTTATCTGCAAGCAAAGAAGTGTGAATTCTGGGGAACAGTCATAAGGAGCCATCAAAAGATTTCAAACAGAGCAGTGACAAAGGAAAGCCATACTGGGGACAGTGTGAATGGGGGACTGTGAAGGTGAGGGTGAGGTGAGTTTACTGAAATGCAGGGGACCAGTGTAGGCAATACTATCAAGAAAACACTTTGTAAAACAAAACCTGGAATAGTAAAATTGGTTGCTTTCTAGTGGAACTTGCAAAGGTATACTTTTATAGAAACTATCCCCTTTGCATGTTAGAGTGGCAAGTTTTGGAATTTGTTGATCCAACGAAAGGTTAAAAGTTACTAAAGGAAGCCCTACTAGATATTGGGGGAATTTCTTTTCTTAGTTTTTGAAGGTGGCGGAGGCCAGGATACTACAGTCTTAAAACAGGACCAGAGACTGGTGCTC